TAGGGAGTATTTATCTCCCTATGAGGAATCCTCTCTTACCACTGAGTACAATGCAGAGCAAGATTTGGAGAACAAGAGAGGTGGGGTAGCCAAACCAGGATGCTACCACTCCTACCACCCAGCCATGCCTGAGCTCAGAACAGAACAGCCAGGCCAAGACAAAAGCCATTTTTCATCTTTGTAGAGCAGGTGGATAGATACCAGGCAGGGAAGGCAGAGGTCTCTCCCATAGGATGAAGGCATGTGACTCAACATCCCTACCTTGAATCCCATGCTCTAGAATTTTCCACAGCCCAGGGCAAGGCCCAAAGAGCATTGCATTGTAGTTAGAGCTGCTGCCTTCTCCAGTGAGGTGGAGAAAGACCACTGTGGGAAAGAAGGGAGGGAAGAAGACCCTGTTGGTCCCTGGGACACGTGCAGGAGGCCAAACTAAGACAGAGTGCTGAGGGAAGCTGAAGATCTGTGCACATTCCTGTGAGACTCCTGTGTCCCTGAGCCTCTTGGGAAGCATCACATGCCTTGAGGTGAGTACATCCCAAGGTGAAGCCCTGGCATGGGCACACATCCCTACATGGCACAGGAGCATGCATTAGGATTGAGACACAAGAGGAGAAGAAGGGTAACCTGCAGTATCAAGATGCTCAGAACCTGCTAGCAGTATAAACCTGAACGCGGTCCCCAGGCCTTCTGAAGGAGAGCCTCTTGGGTTGGTCCCAGCAACCACGTGTCTCTGGGCTTGCAGCATGCTCTGAGGTGAGGACCCAGGGCAGGGACTGGCTTTTCACCTGGTGTGAGTCTGTGACCTATCAGTCCCACTTTCAGAGATTATAACACAATGGAACTGGCTTTTCTCTGTCCCAACCTAGATCCATAGACTGACCCTGGATCTAGTCCTGGCTACATCAGCTTCTGTGCCCCCAGTGACTGGTATAAAACATGCAAGAGAGAGAGGCTCATCGGACCAGGGTCATCGGATCTTGGCTGGAGTCTCTGAGAATGATGAGTTATCAATATGGTTGGATGGAAAGTAAGAAGGATAAGAAACCTCTCCCCCATAATCTAAGGAAACCCAGCATGACAGAGTGTGTGAAGACACTGAGTGTCTGCACCCAGCTTTAGCCGAAGCCAGCTGCCAGCTCACTTCTCCACCACACATACTACCAAGGTTCTTTCTGGGCTTTGGTTTCCTGTGTGTCTAGCACCTACAGCCCAAAGAATCTCAAACATCGCAGGAACAGAATGGAGATTGCAGGGAGAGTTAAGGCTCTTTAACCCAATAGACATAAGTTCAAATCCTGGCTCATTTGCTTAACAACTGTGTGATTCTGGCAACTAGGAAAATCAGTATTTGTTGTGGTGCGGCAGGGAGGGGAGACCTCCCTCACTGGCGTAATAAATATATGCAGGGTTTGGGAAATCAAACAAATGACCTCCAGTGAGCAAGTTTCCCTCCTTATGCCTCACTTTCCTTATTGTGAAGAAGCAACTTGGAGAACCGGAGAGAAATACACAAGAAAAGGCAGAGAGGGCTGCGTGATGCTTCTGCCTTGAAATGACACCTCGACCTACACAGGGTGGAACAAGCAAGCCTTCAGCCCCAGATGATGATGGGAGCCCCCTCCGCAGAAATTCTCAAAGTGCTAATTAGGTCTGCACACTGCCCAGAGAAGGGGAATGCCTGCTTAATAACTGGCTTTCCCAGCAGGGGGCCACACCCAAGACTACCTGCCACCTTCCCTCCTGGCCAGAGCTGGAAACTTCAGCCAGAAGGGCAGGCGAGTCCTGTCCCAGGACAGCATGCAAAACTGAGCCTGGCAGCCATCTGGTCCCCAATTCCGCCTAATGTCTGCAACAGACCCTGAGCTAATTGCATGGTTGGGGCACTGCCTGGACATCTTTAGCACCTAATTCACTACTGTTTCTCTGGAAGCCCCATTCCCAGCCTACAAGGGAGGGACGTGCCCATTTACAGGGATTTTTAAGCCCCTGGAATTCTGGTCTGATCTGGCAAGGCTCCAGCTGGCCCCATGACCAGGAAGGCATCCTTGGTTTCCAGCTCAAGCCCTAAGCTGCTCCCAACACCAGACCAGCCTCCTGCCCCAGACTTTGGCACTATTCCCCACTCCACCCCCAACAAAAGTAGAGAATGGAATGTGAGACATAGGATCAGAGACCTGGGTTCAAATCTCAGCTTGATCACTTCCTAACATGGAAACAACACACCATTCTTCTCTGGGCTGTTTCCTCATCTACAAAGGAGACAGTGTGACTCTTTGCTCAGTATGGTAATGGCTGAGATACCAAGAGTTCTGCTGGAACCACAGGTCATCGGGCATGCGCTGCTGCAGAGCCTGCAGGGAGACTCCATCTAGACAGCACTCCTGGGTGGATGTAGAAAGCACCTTGTCCTCAAACTCACCCTATCCCAGATTGGGTGTTTCTCCATAGCATCCTGCCATCATCTTGAAATGCTATACCCAGACCCCTTTGTACCCCTGCCCAATGCCCAGGCACACATCCCCACTGTGAGTGTAGGGCAAAGAGCCAGTGTCTCCTCCAGCAGCCCCTCCCCCATCTCCCAGTTCTGATCATGGAAACAGATTGAGGAGGGCACTAGTGGGCCTGGCTGCCCAATGATGACATCATCTTGACCCCCTTACTGCAAGAACTCTCACCACCTCCTTTGTCATGGCCCCTGAGTCTGTAATCATAGAGCAGGCTGGGTAATAAGCCACTGGAAGGCCTAGAGAGTCCCTGATCCTTTCCAGGTCTGGAGATTTGAACCCAGGTCCCTGGTCCCATGTCTCATGTCCTCTCATTTCTGAAGAGACCAGGAAATAGAGTGTCCCTGCTCCTGCCCAACAGGAAGATCCCCTGTTGTCTCTTTAGAACAAGACATCAGCCCCATGAGGTCAAAACAGTTGGAATGTGAAAGGAGCCATCCTAGAAAGAGTGTGGTCACACACACAGGGGGGCAGAGTGGTTGAGTGAAAAACACTCTGGCTGTAAGTCCTGTCTAGAGAGTAGGAAAAGCAATAATGAGCACAGGGTCTGCACCTCTTTGCTCCATCAAGTGGAAAGGGACAAAATGAGCACCACGTCATATTGCAGCCTTCAGGACTCCAGAGACTGACTTAACCTAACATCATAACCTGTGCGTATGTGTGTGTGTGTTATATGGAGGTGTGTGTGTGGGTGTGCACATCCAGGTGTGTTCATAAGGAGGCCAGAGGTCAATGTCAGGTGTCTTCCCCTATTATTCTCCACCTTACTTTTTATTGAACCTGAATCTCACATTTTGGCTCAACTGTGGGCCCTAGAGTCAGTCTGTCTGTATTCTCCCCATGCTGCGTGCCCAGCTTTTATTTGAGTGCTGGGGATCCAAACTCAGATCCTCATGCTTGTCCCAGAAAACTCTTTACCCATGAGTCACTTTCTCATTCCCTAGAGGCTGCTCAGCTCACTGCTGTCACCAGCCCCTGGGAGGGCAACAGCCAGTATGAGTGGACAGCATTTATGTTTTCTGGGTAGATGAATGGATAACTGAATTCTGGTTCAGGCACCCATCTCTTGGTTATTATTATTATTTTTTAAGAATAAAAGAGTAGGGGACAGGAACAGAAGGGTATCCGGCAGTTAGACACTATGGCTTGAATAAGGGTCTCCCAAATGTCATACATTGTTTGATCCTTGGGGCAGCATTACTAGGAAGAACGGTGCAGCCTTCAAAGAGATCAGAGGAGCCCAGGTCTCTTTCCCTTCCCCTTCCCTTCCTAGCCATGATGTGGCCATGAGAGCAGTTGTGGCCTGCCACATAATCTCCTCGTGGTGTGCAGCCTCCCCATGGGCCCCACACATTAGAGTTCCCACCGAAGGTTTCACTGAGGCCTTGAGGGAGTTGATTTCGTTGAGCCTGGGAGTTTCTATCTGTCAAACGTAGAAGCTGGCAGTGGGCCTCAGAAGATGCCTGCCCTGCCTCTGTCTTATTCAGTGATCTTCGCCAAGCAGTTTTGTGCTTCTTAGCCTCAGGTCATCATCTACCAATCACAGAACTTCCCACCCTGCTGGGCACCTAGAAGGCCTCACAAAGTTTCAAGGACACAGGCTGTGCCTGGGCAGGAGGGCAAGCCAAACCGCAGGAACCGGGGAGACAGGTGAGGGTAATGGGTAGGTGACAATGGAGATCTGTGTGTCCAGAGCTTAAGGCAACTTCTCAGAAGCCACACAAGGCCCTCCCTGATCAGAAGACTTCTCTCCCCAAGTCCCCTCCCCACACAGGGACCCTATAGCCGGTCTCTGCAGGAGTTTTAAAGGAGGAGGGTGACAAGGAGGCTCAGGGTTCCCTCCCACCTTCAGGAGCTAGTTATCCAAGGATGAGGCCTGGTCTGGGAGCAGCAGGAGGGAAGGGGCATGGCTACACACCTTCACCCCAAGCCTCAGGAAGAGGGCTCCCTGGAGCCTGCTTCCAGGCCTGGGGTGTCACCCTAGAAGAGCAAGTCCTCCAAGTCATCAAAGCCAGACTCACAAAGCCCAACTCACAGCATAGGAGAGAAGCTCCAAGGATGGAAATGACCTCAAAATCCAGCCTAAGCTTGACCAAATATTGTGGAATTCATAAACTGTTCTTTGATGGATTCCCAACACTTGTGGATAAACACATTAATGAAGCAATGAATCTAAATTACTAACGGTGAAGTTCTCTGTGGGCTGGGGTAAATCCCCAGGGCCCGGTCTAGAACGGAGGCCGTGTAAATGCCTATGAGCAAACGACTGAGTCGATCCCCTCTGGTCAACGGTAGAATCGACACGGGAGAACTGATTCCCATCTGCTGTGAGGTTGCTGGTTCAGTGCCTAGAATAGTGCCCCCCCAGCACACAGCCATGGTGGTGAAAGGATGCTTAGGGCCCAGCCCTCAGCACAAAGACCAATAGGAAGGAAGCACAAAGAGACTAACTACCCTGCCAGAGCCTCGCCCCCCAGCCACCACACTCCTCATCAGTTTCTTAAATAATTTGTGGGTTGTTTTTAATTGTTGAGGCAGTAATACTTGGTTCATGAAACTGCAATATACAGAGAGGTGAAATAAATAGCTTATATATATAATATATATAATATAGCTGGTTTTAAAATATTCCCTTATCATTGGTGTACTAGGTCACGTGAGTCACGGAAGGTCCATAGCAGCATCCTCCAGAACTGCGGGCAAGGCAGGCCACCATGATTGGACGAGGCGTCTGTCGTCGGAAGGTCGAGGCGCGGAGAATTCTCAGGGGGGGGCGCCTTCCCTGCGCGGTGTCGCGGGACAGCTTGCAGTGGACAATAAATAAATGACTGCAAACCAGAGAGCGATTCTTGTTGGAGTCTAAGGCAGGGAGAGGGGGAGGGAGGAAGGAAGGGCTAGGGTGGGGGAGGGGCACTACTTTTTTTTTTCTATTTTTTTTGTTTGTTTTTGTTTTGCTTTCAGAACCTTTGGGGAAAGGACTTTGGTTTCTCGCAGCGTCATTCTCATTCAAGTCCTCCTCTGGGGATGAGTTTTGAATTGTCACCCCCTAGAGAGAGGCAAGCACCTGTGGGTTGACAGCAGTCCCCTTTCGCGAGTCCTTTGTCATGGGGTTCTGGTCAACGGTAGAATCCTACCCCCCCCCCCAGACTTTAGGTTCAGTTTTTGTCTTCTTTTAAACACAATGTACAAAAATAGAGATTCTTCCTTATTTTTCGTGTAAAAATATTCCTCTGGTGTAGTTCTCTAGGTGTGAGTGTGGCCGGACCTAGCCAGGGTGAGTGGGGCGGATCCGCCGGGAACGCTTGGTGACGGTGGTATACTTGAAGGGCTTCTGCAGCTCAGCCTGTCCCTTAGGGTAACGCTTCATGAAGTGCACATCTTGCTGGTTCTCCCGGGTCTTGGGACCCTTGCGAGGCCTCCCCTTCTTGGTGAAGCCCACATACCAGCCTGAGTACTTGGCTGACATCAGGGCAGTGTAGTTGTTTTCCAGAACCTTCTCAATGAACACACACTCCTTGCTAGTACCATCAGGCTGCAGGAAAGAGAGAAGGAGCGTCAAAGAAAGGAAAGTCAATGATGCCTGCTAAGCTACAGCAGAGTTACATACAACCCCAGTGCTGGTAATGGGTATGGGGGAGGGGAGCTTCACACCCAGGTCTAGAGAAGCTTCACTCAGCTCCCAACCTCATAGCACTCACTAGCAACTCGCCAGAGGAGGGGTTGAAGACAGGCATGAGCACACATGCCTTGTGGACATGGCAGGTAATCATATGCCAATAAAGCTCTGCTTAAAACTAGATTTCACAAAATAGAGGGAAAAGAAATTGTAGGCCGGAAGCTCTACTGGTGGGTGCTGGGATGTGGCTGGGGCAGGGACAGCACGGCAGAAAGGTCCTAATCTCTGCTTCTTTACATGCAAATAGACCTTTGTTAAAGGCCCCACATCTTCCTCAGCCCTCCACCTAGGGAGCAGAGTACCATTGTCTGGTGGAAATCCACCTTAGTTTCCTGCCTCATCTGTAGGCTCCATATCATCCCTACTTGAGCAACAGATCTATCCAATCAAATTGTAGCCCCTCCCAGACATGTCATCCAAGCCCACCAATCATCCCACTATGAGGATTCAACCAGCAGTGCCCCAAAGAAAACTAACAAAAAAAGAAAATGGGTTTAAACTTGAAGTATTTGTAAGGCTGAAATGAGGGCAGCCATTTTACCAACAAGAAAGGGAACCCTGCTGGTCAGAGATGCCAGCTCTGAGGAAACCAGGCCAAGCAGGAGAATGAAGAAACCAAGGAGCCCTGGTCACTGCACTTGGGCTCTGGACACAGCTGCATCTGCAGGTCTCATTACCTCACCACCATCTAGGCCAACAATGTCTCATTTCCTTTAACTCAGCTGATGTTTTAATCTATCATGTAAGAGAAATGGGTCCTGGCAGATCTGCCGTTCAACTCTTCTACAACAAAGTTCAACACAAACTACACTCGATGAGGGATGTGGCACACTCTACTACTTGGTATGAAGCAAGCTAGGAACCATCCAAAAATAAGACCCAGCATGGCCAAACTCCACATGCTTCGTAAGGGGGCCCTGGGGTCTCAGGTTCCTGAACAGATGTCTAAGTCTTAAGAGACTGGATACTCAGGGCAAAGAGTACTGACTTTGGAGCCAAAAGCCAAATGAACCCTAGCATATCCTATAACCTCAGGGTGGCCAAGACCTTCCTCCAAAACTCAGATTCCTCACCAGGCAAAAGGGTACAATGACTTCTTCATCATAGAGACACATGAAAAGTGACATTTGCAAATGAGTCTGACACACAGGGGGACTCTCCTGGTTGTTTCTGAAGGGCACATGGCTCTGCTAGGACTATCCTGAACAAAAGATGATGATAAGACCTTGAAGCCTCCTCCTGGAGCAGTGATTGCTCGATGGGAGAGAGTGGGGAACTCGAAGTTGGATAGGTTGACTTAGCAGCACACGTTTCCAGCTAACATCTCCAAATTTAGGCCGGGCCCACTCCTTGTTCCGGACGACTGCCCAGCCAAGTTGGAAGCCCAGCGGTCTGGCTGTGTGTGGAGACTGGGGTGCGGGTTCCAGCCTTTTGTTTGAAGTGGAAAACTGGCAGGAGCTTCCAGGGACATTCACCTTTGAGAGAAGGGCAAGCCTAGTCTCTGCAGACAGAGTGCTGAACTCTGCAGAAAGCCTGGCTAAAGAGACTCTCTGGGAAATGTTCTTTCAAGCCAGCTTCAGAACAGACAGAGGGCAGGTTCAAGACACACATGATATTGAGAGGACAGCCTGGGTAATAATAGTAAGACTATTATAAAGGAAGGCAGAAAAACATGTGTAAGGCAGGTTAAAGCCAGTAATCTCTTGGCTCTAGGACTCTCACTGAAAGGTCTAGAAGCTCCTCATCCAACTCTTTACATGGTCTTCATCAAAGTCAAAGCAACCTGAACAAAACTAGACAACGCCGTCCTACTTCTTTCTGTCCTCCAAAACTCAGCAAGGTAATTGCCTCCTCTGGGAAGCCACCCTTGATTGCTGCTTTACTCTCTAGGCAATGCCTAGAGGCATGATCTAACTCAGGAAAGGCCTGCCTTCGGCCTCTTAGCCCTTCTTGCCAAGTCCACAGTGGAGACACTACTCATCATCGGCTCCACCACTGATTCCCAAGAACCCCTCTGCACCTTGGGATGTTGAAACCAGCCCAGAGCCCAGCTTCCCAGTCCTTTGAAGCAAATTAGACATGTACTTAGAATTCTACAAGTTCACACACCCCATCTTTGTCAAGTCCCTGGGTACCCACCTCTCTCCTACCCCATGCTCCCATGGACTATCTGCATCCACCTGCCTCCTCCTTATCCAAGAGCTCCTTGAGACCAGGACTGCATCTGACTTACTCTAGGAGCTGAGCACAGGCCTTAGCCCAAGATGGGGTTTGTGGTCAAATGAATGAGAACCATACCAAGAAGGATGGAGTGAGTGGGTGACACATGAAAGCACCTGAAAGAAAAGAGAGTCTACTTTCTGAATCCCTTACAGTGTCTCTCAGATGTGCTTCTCAGAGCAAGCCGAGGGCGTGAGAGGTCTACTGGCCCACTTGGTCTCCCTACTCATTCATTCAGTATTTATTGATTGCTGACCACAGGCCAGACATTCCCACATGCATTATGTCATTTTACCCTCTTAAGTCACTGAGATTGACTCTGCCTAGAGAAAGGAAACAGTTAAAAGAGGCAAAAGGGCTTGCCCAAGGTCATGGCACTTGAAAATGGCCCCTAGCATACTTGTCTCATGTCCATTTCTGGAGAAGTCCATGGGGAGAAGAGAAGAGGCAGAGTGAGTGATGGCCACCAAAATTCATCACCTCCCAGAGAGCCACCACAGTCACATAGTAAAACATGGGCACAAAGTGAATGTTGGGTGTGTGATAATGTAGCATAGATCGGGCATGTAGGCTCCATATACATCTGTGTTTACTATGTTCAGAGGCTGGGAAGCTGGGCTCTAGACTGGTCCCGACACCACAGGGCACAGACAGGCTCTTGGGAGCCAGGGATGAGCACAGATTCTCCACCACGGACTCAGCCAGAAAGGCCAAGAGGCTAACATTAGACTACACCTGAGTTTGGCCATTACTGCTTTTTCACTGATCATGTCACCTACATTGACATTTAAAAAAAAATTAAATTGGGGGCTGGAGAGATGGCTCAGAGGTTAAGAGCACTGACTGCTTTTCTAGAGGTCCTGAGTTCAATTCCCAGCAACCACATGGTGGCTCACAACCATCTGTAACGGGATCTGGTGCCCTCTTCCGGCCTGCAGGTATGCAGGCATACATGCAGACAGAACACTGTATACATAAATAAATAAATCTTTAAAAAAAAATAAAAAAATTAAAAAATTAAATCAAATCTTGGGCTGCACCTCAGAACTTCAGGACCTGCCAGCTAAGGCAAGCAAGGGCACCCACTTTTAAAGAGTAACCTTAGAGCCTAGGAAGTTTAGTGGAGATTACCCTTCTCCTCCAACCACACTTCTCACCCCTGACTTCCAGTGAATCACAGCCCTTCTATGTGACCCAAATCCTGATGACATCATGAAATCACACCTCATCTAACACCTAGAGGTTTTAGATCTACTGGGGGGGAAATTCCCTTCCGCTGAAAACATTGAGTTTTTCAGTGACTTACAACCAAAGTGGCCTTAATCCCCTGGCCTAAAAGACTCTGAGGCTCTATTACTCCCAAAGGACAGGCAGGAGGGTGGGGACAGATGGGGAAATTCTGATTAGCACATGACAGGAGATGCTCAGCAATTCTTTCTGGACTATGCTACCTTCTGGCCAAGTGAATAGGTTCAGAGAGGTGGCCAGGAGCAAGCTACCAGAGCATGCAGGGCTCCAAGATAAATAGAGGGAAAGACACCAGCCAATGGCTAGTGCATCTGAAATAGCTGTTTTCAGGGCTCAATGCATGACCCCTGCTCTGGCCAGAGATGTGCAAGGCTGGTACCTATAACACAGAGAGAGGGAACATCAAGCAGAGGCCAGAGGTCCATGGGTGCGGTAGTGATACCAAGGCCTGGCTTCAGACTGGGGGTGTAGCTCAGTCCATACAGTGCCTGCCTAACATGCACAGAACTCGGGGTACATTTTCAGCTCCCCATGAATCAGGGGTAGGTATGCATGCCTCTAATCTCTGCACTCAGGAGGTAAAGGCAGGAGGATCAGGAGTCCATGGTCATCCTAATTACATAGGAATTCCAGAGTTCCAGAATAGCCCTTGAGGGAGGAGACTATGTCTCAAAACGTAAGGAAAAATAAACTTGTCTTTGAAAAGGGAAGGAGGAAGGGACTAACACTAAGGCAGAACACGCTTAAATGCCTGTATGAGCCCCCTTACAGACAAGGTTCAGCACACCTCGTTGGTCAGGACACCAGGACCCCTGGCCTGGTAAGCATCATTCTTGCAGGAGGTTGAGTCATCTCAGAAAGCAAGAGCCAATATCTTTGTTTCTGTGTTGTGCACCCCTCAGACTCTGTAAAGGCTCCCAGTCTGGAGGAGAATTGGGGTGGAGTGGGGTGGGCATAGACAGCTAACTAGTGGCTAGGGAAGTCTAGAGACCCTTGAAGGTCCAGGGAGAAAACAGGATAAGGGCTAGGAAGGCTCACGCAGGAGCCCTAAATCCATATCCAGGGAGTGGGTGTGAGCAGTTCAGAGAGCCTAGGGCATAGGTTTCCAGGAATGTGGAGAGGCCCAGCTGAGCCCTAAGCTGATCCAGGGGAGGAGGGCAAATTCAGCTGGGGCCCGAAGTTTCCCAAGCAAGGCAATGAAGGTTGGGGCAGCAATATCTGGAAAGCTATGAGACTGTAAGGAGGAGACACACCCAACCATTAAAGAGGGGCACTCCCCCGCCCCCAGGACCCAGCTCGAGTGAGCAGGGAGGGTGTCATGGCAGACTACCAAATGTGTGATTCCCGCCCCACCCAGCACAGGTAGATGGGGGACCACTAAGCCCCTGGGCTCAGAAGGGTGTTAGAGGCAGTTGTGCTAGAAGGAGGGTGCAGAGATGGAGACAGGGGACCGGGCCTGCTTCGCTGCTGTGCCTTGAAGCCAGATGAACCGTCACCAATATTAATGACCTGAGAGAGGGCAAGGGGGCAGGAAATCAGAGCCGGCTCCTGTGGAAGCAGTGACTCAGCGGCCAGCCAGCGGGAGGCAGCAGGGATGCAGCCTGAGGGAACCTGTCGTTCTCCTGACCCCATGATAGTACTCCTGGGGGTCAGGATGCCGGGAAGAGCTCAGGCAGGGAGGCGGCACCGGGAGGCGCAGGCTTTGGGCACAGAGGGAGCAAAGGGGAAAATCAAGGCTCAAACCCAAAGCAGGTTGGTCTGGGAGGAGGCCCAGGCGGGCAGCAGAACAAAGCGCTGACGCGGGGCTGGGCTGCCGCTGCAGGAAACTGCTGGCCAAGATGGGACGACTGAATGGGCCAGGGGACCCGGCACCCGCCCCTGCTCGCCGCCCTAGCGGCTCAGCGACCCCCTCGCCGGCCAGCCTGTGACGGAGAAAAGTGAATCACTAATTGAAACCACTCCTCGGCATCCCAACGCTCTTCAAATTACTATTATTTTGCAGCTTGGGTTGGTATGGGTGTGTGGCTGGAATCGTTCCCTTCCAAACCGGGCTTTGAATCCTGCCTAATGCTAGATGGGACCTGGCACAAGAGCCCAGGGATGTGGCCAACCCTCAGCTTTCCCACCTGTGAAATGGGGATGGCTGTGGTGCCAACCTGCCAAAATTATCTGCAAGTATTTTTTGCCCAATTCCTGGGAGAAAGAAGGAAATCGTCAATGTATGAATTCCTTGGTCCTTGACCCAGGGGTAAGGAGGCAGAAGGAAGGGCTAAAGGCTCAAGAAATCAAGTATTGCTTCAAGAAGACTGATCATTCTCCCCTTATGCCAACAAGGTATAATGGAACCAATATCCCCAAGACCTTGTTCCTAAGCAGAGGCCCATTTTCCATGACACCTATCCAGACAGACTTTACCCTCAGTACAGTACAGAAGCAGGGACAGTCCCTGAAGAGAGCAGAGGACAGGGAGGTGACTTCACTATAGAGCTACTATGGGTGACATCTTCCTCTTGAACCTCTGGGAGAAACAAGCCAGTGACCTTCACAAATAAGCACATGAGAATGTAAAGAAGAGAGACGAAGGGCAGACTTCAGGGAGCATCCAAGTCCAGCAAGTGAGTGTACACACACACACACACACACACGTACATATGCATATACACATCACACACATGTACACTAATTGGACACTTGCAGCTCTGGCCTGTTTCAAAGAAACAAAATCTTCATGAACTGACAGAACCGTGGACCCTAGCTCTGCCTCTGGGGACTGTTGCTGCTACTGTCAACCCCTGAGGAGTGTTAGCTGATCCCTGCAGTCATAATCCATGGGCTACAGGTTCCCTCTTCTCAGATACCAGGAGCACATGAGCTGGCTGCCCCCATGGGCTTCTCCCTACAGAACAAAGTAGAGCTCCACATCCCTCTCCAGCAGAGTCCAGAGCTCTATGGCACTGAAACAAAAACCACGATGCCAGGAAGAAATGCCATCGGGCGATGCTGATCTCATCCATGTATACATCAGAGCTGTGTTCCAGGTGGGGGTAACAGGACCCTGAATATGCTTTGCCAGTTCTCTGAAGCTGGCTGAATGGACCCCCAAGTACCCAGGATTTCATCACTCACCTTCCCCACGAGCTTGCCTTTTCGGTTCATACACAGGTAGAACTCTGTCTCCTTGCCCTTGATCCGGACTTGACTCCCGAAGGTATCTGTCTCCACTAGGAGCTGGGCTTCGAAAGGCAGAAGGAGAATAAAAGAAGCTTTTTAACCAGCGGCAATGGTATAGTCTAAAGACACAGCAATATCTCCCTGACCTTACCCCTGGTCCCTCACTTCCCCAATGACAAGCATGGAGGAAGATTCTGGTAGGTTCCATAAAAATACCCTGATTCTGGGATGAGGGAGGGAAACTGCCCCCACTGCCCCCATGCTCCAGTCTGAGAGGAATTCTGTCTGTGGCCCTTCACCCTCATACACCCCTCATACACCTCCCTGCCCCTCAACTCCACTCCCCGAAGCGGAACCAACAGTCACACAGAATACCCAGAGAAGTAACCAAGGGAACGAACAAACACACACAGACAGACAGACAGACACACACACACACACACAGACACACACACATACAGACACACACACACAGACACACACACACAGACACACACAGACACACACACACACACACACAGACACACACACACAGACACACACACATACAGACACACACACAGACAGACACACACACAGATACACACAGACACACACAGACACACACAGACACACACACACACACACACACACACACACACAGCCTTTGGGACCTCATGCTGTTTCCTTCAAAAGTTAGGTCACATGTCCTTTTCCCCAAGGGCAAACATCTGGCCTCCCTACTAAGGCAGTTTTGGCACCTTTGACCTGGCCACTTGACACAGGAAGACATGAAGGTGAAGGTGCCAAACCCTGGGAAAGAGTCCACGTTCAGAATCTCCCTCCCCATGACTGAGGCCATCAGAGATGGGTAAGTAACTTTCAAGAGCACAGAGGTCTGATGGGGACTAGAATCTCCCCGCCCCCAGGACCGGAACCCATCCTGGCCTCAGTGTCAGAATGTCAGAATGGAGGTGCCCACACTGCTCCCCTAAGCCCCTGGCGGACAGAGGCATCAGTGACCTTCCCTCTAGCCAGCCCACATGTCCTGCTGTAGTATTCAGTGTGACTTGGGGTGAGGTCTCACTCTCCGGGTCTTGAACCACCATGACCCATTTTCCATTCCCACTCCCCTCCCCCATGGCTGTTTTCTTTGGCTGTGACCTTTCACTCCCAGCACCAGCCCCTCCCTTGGCTACAAAAGTTTCACTTCGGTGACAAGGGACTTGCTTCTCCATAATCATAGCCCCAAATTCCTGAGTAGAGTATCGATGGAGCCACAAAGAGTGTACCTCGGTGCCCCTAAAATACACTAGGTATGATTTTAATAAAAAGCATTTACAAATATAGGCCCTGGAGCCCCGCTGTGAAAATTGAAACCACCTGGAACTTGGGATTTCTATAATTAATCTAGCCCTCCTTTGACACCACTTCTAATTAAAATATGATTCCCACCTTAAAAAAAGAATTTACATAAAATTTAAAGACCTAACAAGAATTTTGTAATTCTGGGAGCAAGGTGGGGCACGTTCTTCTTTCCACCTCCCCCACTCCCAGTAAACACTGAGTTACGCACATGAACAAGGCCGTGATGTACCCTACTTACCCTCATTCAAACCCCTTGTCCTTTCTTTATTCACTTAGCTCCCAGAGGGAAAGTCACAGTTGCTCCCAGACTGCTCTACCATCTCCTGGCAAATCTCATGCCTCCCATAGTGAGAATGTTCTAGAAGCTTCAATGTATATGGTATGCATAAATATGGACTTGACTCCCAGGCTCTACTTGACTTCTGTGTGGCTTTGGGCCACAGGGTCTTCACCAGTGAACTGGGGAGAATTATCCTGACCCCCTCAATAGAGCCTGGGAGGCCCTGTAGCATGAAAGTGCCCATCCTAGGGGGAAACTCAGTAATCTTCATTTTAAGTTTCCTAAAAGCTACAAAGTTGAACCTTTCCTGGAAGAAAAGTGCACCGAGGGGCCGAGCCCACATGTTCACATGAGAAAGGGAGGGAGCCTGCTTCCCGAGGCCCCACCCCTGCTCAGAACCTACTCAACCTTCTTGGGGCAGGCAACCCACACCAGACAGGGCATCTGAGAATGCCCGTAGGTCTGTTGCCATCCCACACTATATGACTTAAACCCTGAGCAGATCACCCCACCCCTCTCTGAGCCTCAGTTTTCTCCCTGGTGCAAGGGGGTGGAGTTCAGCCCCATTCTGTTTCTTTCTGGAACCCAGGAGTCAAGCCTAGGAGAAAAGCAGACTCTACTGAAACCAGGGAAACTGTCATTAATGGAAAGGCGCAGGACATCATTCTCTTATCTGCCCCCAAGTATGTCCTCTATGGACAAGATTGGCTTCCATAGGCTACAGTTAAAGCTCCCCCCACATCCACATAGAGTAAGGGGTCCTTGTCCTCATTTCCCAGGGTAAGCAAGTGAGGTGCCCAGCAACAGCCCAGCAGGAGGACTAACTGCAGGGCTGGCTGGCTCTCAAAGCCACTCCTAACATTGCCCCACCTCTCAGCAGCAGGGACCCTGGCCATCTCCCCCATCCCACCACATCCCCAGGGTGGGTGTGAACATCCAAAGGGCCTGGGGCAGAGAGACTAGGGCTGCAGTTCAACTCCACCCTCCACAGGCCAGTCCACCCCCATCCAGCCTAGGCAGGGTGTGAGTCTAGCCACTAGCAGTCTGTTCTTCCTACCCACCCTGACCACAGCGTGCAGCAGAGTGACCTAGACTCCACTCAGAGAATGACATAATGAGGCAGGAGCCAGGCCAGAATTATGTAAAGTCTTTGGGGAGTGATAGGCCAGCAGCATCAGCAGCAGGAGAGAAAGAGGAACAGACACTCCACCCAAGCTAGGTTTGCTGCATAGCCTTCCTGATCCTCCTCATCCCCCACCAGCTTCTGAGAGCCAAGCTCCGAAGATGCTGCTCTCAGGAGCAGAAGCCTCATCTTGGCTCAGTTCCATTGGCAGAGCCTGCAGCTGGCCTGGGGGAATGACACAACCTTGCCATCCCTCCTCCACCAGTCACCTCCCTCTGCCACTCTTGCCCTCACCAGTCTTCCCTCCACACATCAGCTGGAAGCGTCCTGTTAAAACACTGATGAGGCCGAGAAGGTGCAGAACCTGCCATGCAGAGTGAGAACCTGAGTTTGGATCCCAACAACCCATGTAAGAGCTGGGCATAGTGGCGAACATCTGCAACCCCAAAGAAGATTCACAAAGCTCAGCAAACAGACAGTCTGGCCAACAGTGATCTCCAGGTTCAGTAAGAGTGTTTCTCAAAGGGCGGTGGTGGTGGTTTGATCCCAGCACTCAGGAGGCAGAGGCAGGTTGATCTCTGTGAGTTCAAGGTCAACATGGTCCTAATGAGTTCTAGGACAGCCAGAGCTACACAGAAAAACCCTATCTTGAAAACTAACAGTAATAATAATAATAGAGACTGTTTCTCAAAATTAAAGATAGCAATTGGGGGAAGACATATATGACATGGATCTCTGACTACACACACACACACACACACACACACACACACACACACACACACACACACACACACACGTCTCTTCCCTGTTGAAAAACTTCCCAGGATTCCCAAGCAACTTAGAGAAAATCCTAACTCGTCACTGGGACCCACATCATCTGCCCCTGCTGATCCTCTTTCCCAAGCACTTTGGCTCCTTTGCTATCTCTCTGACACACCTAGTTCCTGCTGCAGGCCCTTTGTACTTGCTATCCTTCTACCTGGAAGTTGCTTTGCCCAAACCTTCCTTGTTGAATGTCATCACCCCAGGTGGCCAAACATCATCTCCTTAGAGATGCTGTAATTTGAATAAGAATGGATCCATAGGCTCCTATATTTGAATGATTAGTCTTCAGAGAGTAGCACTGTCTGAAAGGATTAGAAGGATTGAGAGGTGTGGCCTTGTTGGAGTAGGTGTGGCCTTGTTGGAGGAAGTGTGCCACTGGGGGTGGGCTTTGAGGTTTCAAAAGTCCATTCCAGGCCCAGTCTCTCTCTGTGTCTCTCTGCTTCTGTCTCTCTCCCCCATTCCCCACCCCCACCTTCAGATCAGGATATAGCTCTCAATTACTTCTCCAGAGCTATGCCTGCCATGCTGATCATAAGCAAGCCTTCAGTTAAATGATTCATTTTATAAGAGTTGCCTTGGCCATCACCAAGTAGAACAGTTACTAAGACAGACGACACCTTCCCTGACTGTACTGTCTGGTATTAGCACCACCTTCCCCAGCACAGAACATGACAATTCCCATGCCACATTGCAGCGCTCTATTTCTTTTTATTTTTTTTTTTCTGTGCATTGTTATTGTGTCTATGTGAGAGTGTTAGATCCCTTGGAACTACAGCAACAGACAATTGTGAGTTGCCATGCGGGTGCTGGGCACTGAACCCAGGTCCTCTGGAAGAACAGCAAGTACTCTTAACTGCTGAGCCTTCTTTCTAGTCCATTACTCCAGCACTCTAAAACTGTTTATTGATACTGTTTCAATGTTAAATGTTCCCCCATGGCCCATGTGTGGGAGGCTTAGTTGCCTGCTTAAAACATTACTAGGCCCTTTCAGATGTTAGGTCCAGGCGAGGATGTTAGGTAACATGCTGCTTCCTGCCTCTCTTTCTGCTGTCTCTTTTTCTGCTTCCTAGCCATCATGAGACTAGCCTCCTCTTCCATACACTCAAGCTATAGCGTTCCAACCTGCCACAGGCGGCAGAACAAATGACTAGCCAATCTCGGACTAAGCCTCCAAACCTGAACGCGAAGTAAACCTTTCTTCTTTTTAACTTGACCACCTCAGATATTTTGTTCTAATAATAGCAAGTTAACACACTTTGCCACCTTTTCCACTCTGTATCCTTTCTTACTAGCTGGTAAGCCACCTTAAAGACGGGACAGCTGTCCTTATCCCCCTGCTTTTTTTGTAGCACCCAGCTCAGGCCTGGCTCATAGTAAATGACCACTTACTACATTACAGCCTTGTGACGTAGGCAATGACTAACATGATTCAAGAGCTAAAGGAAGATTCAGGATGGTGAGGCGACATGTTTCAGACCATAGAG